GATTGCATACCTGGAAAAAACCAGGGGCTCTTCTACAAAACTCTTAGAAGTGATCAAGGAATACAGCAGCATCTCAGGTTACAAAATCAACACTCATAAATCGGTAGCCTTTATATATACCAACAACAGTCAAGCTGAAAAAATAGTCAAGAACTCTATTCCATTTACAGTAGTGCCAAAGAAGATGAAATATCTGGGAGTTTTCTTATAAAGGATGTGAAAGACCTCTATAAAGAGAACAATGAAACTCTAAGAAAAGAAATAGCTGACAATGTTAACAAACGGAAAAACATACCATGCTCATGTCTGGGAAGAATTAACATTGTTAAAATGTCCATACTACCCAAAGCAATATATAATTTTAATGCAATCTCTATTTAAGTTCCATTGTCATACTTTAAAGATCTTGAAAAAATAATACTTCATTTTATATGGAATCAGAAAAAACCTCAAATAGCCAAGACATTATTCAGAAATAAAAACAAAGCAGGAGGAATCACGCTACTAGACATCAAACTATACTATAATTTGATAGTGATCACAACATCATAGTATTGCAACAAAAACAGAAAGGTAGACGTATGGAACAGAATAGAGAACCAAGAGATGAACTCAGCTACTTACCATTATATGATCTTTGACAAGCCAATTAAAAACATCAAGTGGGGAAAAGATTCCTTATTTAACAAATGGGCTGGGCGAACTAACTGGCGACCTGCAGAAGACTGAAACTGGATCCACACCTTTCACCACTAACTAAGACTGACTCTCACTGGATTAAAGATTTAAACTTAAGACATGAAACTATAAAAGTACTAGAAGAAAGTGTAGGGAAAACACTTGAAGAAATCAGCCTGGGTGAAAATTTTATGAAGAGGACCTCCCAGGCAATTGAAGCAACATCAAAAATACACTACTGGGACCTGATCCAATTAAAAAGCTTCTGCACAGCCAAAAGCACAGTAAGTAAAGCAAGTAGACAGCCCTCAGAATGGGAGAAGATACTTGCTGCTTATGTCTCCGACAAAGGTTTAATAACCAGAATCCACAGAGAACTCAAATGTATTAGCAAGAAGAGAACAAGTGATCCCCTCTCAGAGTGGGCAAGGGACTTGAAGAGAAACTTCTCTGAAGAAGACAGGTGCATGGCCTGCAAATATATGAAAAAAATGCTCACCATCCTTAATCATCAGAGAAATGCAAATTAAAACTACTTTCAGATATCATCTAACACCAGTAAGATTAGCCCTTATCACAAAATCCCAAAATCACAGAACTTCAGTTGGCCAAAGAGGGTTGATATCTTGAGTTCAAGAGCTCAAGACTAGCCTGGGCAACAAAGCAAGACCCCACCTCTATAAAAAATTTTAAAACTAGCCATGTGTGGTGGCACCTGCCTATAGTCACAGCTACTCAGGAAGCTGAGGCAGGAGGACTGCTAGAACCCAGGAGTTCATGCTATGATTGCACCAGTGCACTCCTGTCTAGGCAACAGAGCAAGACCCTACCTCAAGGTTTGGCGCCTGTGGCTCAAGTGGCTAAGGTGCCAGCCACATACACCCAAGGTGGCGGGTTTGAATCCAGCCCGGGCCCGCCAAACAACAATGACAGCTGCAGCCAAAAAATAGTCGGGCGTTGTGGTGGGCGCCTGTGGTCCCAGCTACTTGGGAGGCTGAGGCAGGAGACTCGCTTGAGCCCAGGAGTTGGAGGTTGCTCTGAGCTGTGATGCCAGGGCACTCTACCCAGGGGACAAGCTTGAGACTCTGTCTCAAAAAAAAAAAAAAAGACCCTACCTCAAAAAATTAAAAAAGGCAACTTGTTTTATTTGGATTGAGTTTTTCATCTATTTGTTTTGTTTTGCTTTGTTATGATTTTGTGCTTTGTTTGCAGACAGAATATTCTACATACATGTTTTTTCGAGTTTTTCCAAGTTATGAATAATGGGAATTTGGACCTAGCATCATTCTCAATGTCCTATAGACATTAAAAACCACATGTCAGGCACGAGGCAGTAGTGGCAATCATGACATATTCCACCCTCTATTACCAAACTCTGATAAATTTGGTTATAGTTTTAAGTTAGGACCCTTTGTTTTATTCTATGAGTGATAAATATTCTGGGACTACATTGAGGTTAAGACATACATCTTTGATAAAGACCTCCAAGAAGGAAAGAATGGATATTTTTTTCTTTTTTTGGCTAGGAATAAGAATTTAAAATTCAGAGAAATAAGTAAGTATGTAACACGTGGTGGACCACTGGTCTACCTGCACAGCACCCGTCTTCCTTCTGGCAATGGATCTCTTTTATGGGTGTGAGCTTATGACCCAGGCCCATCAGTGTGCCCATCCTCCTACCTAAAATTACCAACCAAGAGATGAAAATATAACCAAAGGCAGACCAGAATCCTCTCCGGCACTCTTCCACTAGAGGTATAAGGAAAGATGATTTTCTATCCAGCCCCTATCTAAAAGAATCTGAAGCTGCCAAGAGCCATTTTGTCTACAAAATGAAATCTGAAGGAAGAATGAAACTGAACAGAGACAAGCAGAGCCAAGAGCTAAAAAGTTGGGCTTAGATAATATTATTCAAGGCCCTAGATCTAGGCAATATTTTAAAACAGCTGTACGTACCCAAGACTTCACAGTTACATGAAAAAATAAGTTTACTTTCTTGCTTAAATTCAAGCTTGACTTTTGTTTCAATCACCCACAACCAAAAACATTTGACAGGAGGGGTGTTTAAACAGGGTTGTCTTTCAGGACAGTGATGACGAAATCCAAAACAAATTTAGGAGGAAGAAAATTCTCGAAATGTTGGCTTAATAGTTTTCATTTTTTATGTGAAAGATATTCAGTGGCCTGTGAGTGAAAGGAATCCTTGGAAGCTGCAGGATTTCTTACCTTGACTGCTGTAGATTGGGGGATGACTTTTAGTGGTTGGCTCTTTGTGCTGGCCCCTGGATCGTGGGACCACAAAGACAGCAGTCCGTCGCTACAGCCACTGGAAAGCAGCCTGCCATCTGGTGACCACTTCAGAGAACACACAGCTTGCTTGTGGCACAGCGTTCCAACGTGGTGCTGGGCAGCCCGAACATCATGATGATAAACACGCCCCAGCCTGGACCCACTGCATGGGAGGGAGAAAGGCAGGTTTGCATGACAGAAAAAGTGAGCCCTATTACCACATAAGCATTCAAAACCCTGGAGGAAAGCATAGTTCAAAGTAAAACTACTGAAGATCCCTTAGGACAGATTCAAAGCACAGTGGAAATTCCTTAAGTTAATACAAATGGAGTATTCTGCCCTGGCGGTTCTTTTCACAAGTAAATGGATCTTTTAGCAGAGTTTCAAATTTCAAAAAAATATCCACTGATAGATATTTCTAATAATGTTAATATGATGCCATAGAAAAGATAAATTTCCATGATTACCAGATTTTCCCAGGTAATAGTTTATATACAGGACCTAGGAAATAGTACTTTTCTGCAACTCAGAACATTTCAGATTATCTCAGTGAAATGGTTTTAGTATATATTTACAGTAAAATGCTAGACTTAGAAAATTATTTCCTTTTTCTAATAGGTAGGTTCCTATTAATCTATAGCCCTACTCTTAGTTTAGCTAATGTTACTACATTAAAATGTAAAAGAAAGACGAGGCAAGGAGGCTTACACCTGTAATCCCAGCACTCTGGGAGGCTGAAGCGGGTGGATTGCTGAGCTCAGACCAGCCTGAGCAAGAGCTTGACCCATCTCTAAAAATAGCTGGGTGTTGTGGCAGGTGCCTATAGTCCCAACTACTTGGGAGGCTGAGGCAAGAGAATTGCTTGAGCTCAAGAGTTTGAGGTTGCTGTGAGCTGTGACGCTATGGCACTCTACTGAGGGTGAACAAAATGTAATTCTGTCTCAAAAAAAGAAAAAAAAAATTGGGCGGCGCCTGTGGCTCAAGGAGTAGGGCGCCAGCCTCATATACCGGACATGGCGGGTTCAAACCCAGCCCCAGCAAAAAACTGCAAAAATATATATTTTTTTATATATTTATATAAAATTTTTATATAAAAAATATATGTATATATAAGAACTTTAAAACTAACTGAATGTCACAGCAAACTGCACTATGATTCAAAATCAGTGGATAATGTCTCTACTCACTGCCAGGGATTTTGATCTGAACAATCATAAAGATCATATCTCATTTTTAAAATAATGAACTCTGTCTAAACTACAATTATTTATAAAATTTCTCAAATTCCAGTGTTGTATTTTTAAAAACTATGTGGGTACAATGCTGAATAGCATTCTGATTAACAATATATGCTCTGGAGCCAGACCACCTGGGTTCACACCTTTACTCTGTCCCTCACTAGCCACGTGACCTTAGTTATGGTCTCAGTTTACTTGTCTTAAAAAAATTGGGGATTAGACACTACCTTATAGTGTTATTACTTGGATTGAAACAAGATTTCACACATAAAGAAGATAGCACAGTGCCTGGGACAAAGTCTAAAAATGTTAGTGGCTATTATCACAAGAAAGGATCTGTTTATTCCTCAGGGATAATGAAATTAAACTTTAAAAGTGAAGATTATAAAAGGAACATGAGTAAGTACAGAATTACCTTGACTGTAACCACTAAGTGGTTCCAAGTTTGGCCTATAATCACAAGGTATTAAAGTCTCAAATTTACATCTGAGTTATTTAAAGAAATTGTAAAAGGCCTTGGAATTGATCTAACTTAAATCAACTTTAAGAACTACAGTACAAAGATAAATGGCTATTATTAAAAAGCAATATATATTTAGACCAACTACATAGGATCATAGGAATAAATCACTTGGTTTTTCTGGTTAAAACGAAGCAGTTAAACTAAATCAGTAGTTCTCAAAGTGATGCATCATCAGCATCACCTAGAAAATTAGAAATACAAATTATCAGGCTCCCAGAAATTCCTAAAGTGAGGCCAGCAAGCTGTGCTTCTTGGAGCTCTGCAGGTGATTCTGATGCATGTTCAAGTCTGAGAACCACCAAACAGGTTGGTTCCTTCCGGCTCTAACCTCTGTGGGTCTGTAAATTGGAAACATGCCCCAGGAAGCTTACCATATCCCATAGCATTGACAATAATAGTAATAAATGCTTGACTTCAGCAAAACATCCCTCTAGCCTGTATTACTTGGTACAGAGAAACTTTTCACTTGAAGAGAATTTCACCTTTTATTTGAATGATTTACTGAATCTTGTGCTGAAGTCACATGAGCCACCATAGTAGGTGTGGCCACCAGCACACTTAGATCCCCAGCAGATCTGAGCACTGAGGGCTTAGGATCATACTGATACTGAGGCTAGTGCCCTGTTTTGTTTTATTATGTTTGGGTTTTAAATATTATGGTTCTGTTCAGTCAGGCCCCACAATCAATTGAGAATACAAACATAATTATCTCCAATAAGATGCTTCTTACCTGCTGAGGATACAGTGATTCCAGCTCAGAGCCCCCACTACGGATAAATGACCGAGCATATTTCTCAGCCGCTTTTTAGTTACCACATCCCATAACTGAAAAAATGAACAAGCAGAGTTATGTAGCATTGGCATTTTCACAGCCCCCTGTGTTCTCAGAGGCCTGAGAGCCAAATAGTTGACACTATCGGTTTTCGCAGTAAATGAAAACGCAGCGCTTTTAACCAGCAGCTCTCAGCGCTGACTGCATACTGGGATCACCTGGGGAGTTGGTAAAACACCACAGATGTTAGCCACACTGACTTAGTTGTTGGAGTAAAGCCTGGGGATATAGCGTTTATTTTAAAGCTCCCCGGGTGAATTCAATGTGCAGCCAAGAGTTGAGAATCATTACCACACTTCTGGCTCCTTCTAAATTGTGGGAATTCCAAACCTGGAAATCAACCTATAATTAGAAATATATAAATAAATATATTAATAAAACTGGGGTGTCTGGACTCTTCCCAAAGAAATTCTGCTTACTGCTAAGAGATTCCTTTCCTATAGGTACAGATGATATTCAGACCCATATAGAAAATGACAACTTTAGTGTAAGAAGAAATCATGACATAACCTTACAGCAGCCAGTCATTACAGAGAAGAGGAAGTATTAAGAGCTATCTGTGTCCCTCCTAAGTCATCTAGCACATGGGCAATATTGTCACCACTGCTAACAACAACAACAATAATAATGTCTGACAAATTAGATTGATGGAAACGTGATAAATCCCCACCTCAGAAAGCCTATCAGAAAAAAGAATTCACTCATTTTCTATAACTCTACTCCTGATCATGGCATCACATGAGAAAGGAGAACTGGAAAGGTATCTTCCTCTCTTTAAAGTCCCCGAATTGAAGAGGGTCCTTATCTAACAAAAGCAATTAATATAACCTGCTTCTGTGTAAATCCTCAACAATAAATAAATAAAGTCCCCCAATGGGAAATTCTATAAGCTCAACTTTGGTTTGAGAAAAAAGATTTTTTAAAAAAAGAAAAGAAAGATCGTGGGGAAAACTAAGCAGATTGTCCTTAAGTTCTCAGTAAGTACCATTCAAAAAACCAGAAGGTATCTCTTCCCCCCAGAGCGTTAAGTGCCACACCTAACCTGGTCTGTTTCTCCCTAACCTGGTAATAAAAGTAAACTCTAGTTTGTCTAATAACCACACAGTGAACATGGGAGAAAATCACCTCATACCTGCACTTCTCCCTCGCTGGTGCCAACTGCCAGGCAAGCTCCATCTTTCATCCAGGACACAGAAGACACATAATTACAAGTGGAACCTAAGTCTATGTTTTCAATCCTGTCATGGTCCTCCCCATTCCAGATGTACACAGCAGATCCCAGGGCTATAGCAACAAGATTCTGAAGGCTCCAGTCTAGGATATTCAGATCTGCAAGGAAAGCACTTCAAATGAGGGGATGACACAACCAAATAAGAACATTTTTAAGTAAACAACTTTATTTATAGGTAGAAGGTCACTTGAAAAACAGAAACATGGATCCAAGCAGATCACTGGAAGTTCAAAAACGAAAAGCAGAGCCAGGAGCAGTGACTCACACCTGTAATGCCAGCACTCTGGGAGGCCAAGGTGGCAGATAGCTTAAAATTAGGAGTTTGAGAGCAACCTGAACAAGAGTGAGATCCTATCTCTACTAAAAATAGAACAAACTCGCTGAGCACAATGGTGGGCGCCTATAGACCCAGCTACTTAGGAGGCTGAGGCAAGAGGATGGCTCAAGCCCAAAAGAGTTTGAGATTGTTGTGAGCTATGACACCAGGCTACTCTAACCAGGGCAACAGAGTGAGATTCTGTCTCAAAAAAAAAAAAAGAAAAGAAAAGTGGAATAGAATCTAGTGTCAAGATTTACAGGTTAATAAGCAATAATGCTTATTTATCATTTATGCCCAAATATACTGATTTAGAGGCATTTGAAGAACTTAGCAGATTAATCTATCATCATTTGTACACATGGACTTCATCTAAGAAATCAATAAAGTTGAAAGTATATAATTCTTATGGAGAATATTCTTCTTATGGAAAGTATATAATTGAAAGTATATAATTCTTCATCCTTAGACCTAGGATATCTAAGAGATGCCACCACCATATCTAACCAAACACCACCCAACTAGAATATATCTAGAGAGGTAGTGACTTACTTATTATACTTAGAAATTCTCAGCAGTATTCTCTAGCTTCTACTAAGAACACTTTGGCAGCTAAGAAAAACCATGTTTGGGTGATCACTTATTAAAGTTGCATACCAATGGAGGGGTGCGGGACAGCTGGACAGTTAGTTTTTATATGTCCCTGACCCCCCCATCATTAGTGACTATTAAAATACACCCTTTTTTATTTTTTAAATAAACCAGGTCTCACTCTGTCACCCAAATTGGTGTGTAGTAGTTGAGTACAGCTCACTGCAACCTGGAACTCCTGGACATAAGCAATCCTCCTGCCTCAGTCCCTCTGCTGAGACTACAGGCATGCACCATTATGACTGATTAATTACTTTTAGAAACATGGTCTCACTATGTTACCCAGGCTGGTTTTGAATTCTGGGCCACAAGGGATCCTCTTACCTTGGCCTCCGAAAGTGCTAGGATTATAGGCATGAGCCACCATGCCTGGCCCCCTATTTTATTTCTTTCTTTGTATTTCTTTTAAATTTTTATTAAATCATAACTATATATATTTATGGGGTATAATGTGATGATATGATATACAATATGGAATGTTTAAATCAAACTAATTAACATAACAATTACCTCACTTACTTATCTTTGTGGTAAGACATTTATAACATACTCTTAGTTGTTTTGAAATGTACCCTTGCATTGTGCACATTAGGTTAGATCCCGCCAAATACCTTCCCTTCTACTCCCACTCCCCCCTCCTCCTTCCTCTCCTCCTTCTCCTCTCTTTCTTTCTAGACTATCTTTGTGTTTTAGCATTCATCTGAATAGGTAAGTATATCTATTTTGGTTTCATAATAGTATTGAGTGCATTTTTTTTCCATTCTTTTTTTTTTTTGAGACAGAGTGTCCCAATGTTACCCTCAGTAGAGTACTGTAGCATCACAGCTCACAGCAACCTCAAACTCTTAGCCTTACACAGTTCTCTTGCCTCAGCCTCCCAAGTAGCTGGAACTACAGGCACCCACCACAATCCCCGGCTATTGTACATCATAGTTGTCATTGTTGTTTAGCAGGCCCTGACCAGGGTTGAACCTACCAGCCCCAATATACATGTCCAGCACCCTAACCACTGAGCTACAGGCACCAAGACTTTTTTTTCCACTCTTGAGATACTTTACTGAGAAGACTCTGTTCTAGCTCCATCCACATAAACATAAAAGATGTAAAGTCTCACTCTTTTATGACTGCATAGTATTCCATGGTATACATATACATAGTATTCTATGGACAATTTCTTTATCCATTCATGAGTTGATAGGCATTTAGGCTGCTTCCATGACTTGGCTATTGTGAACTGAGCTGCAATAAACATTTTGGTGCAAATGTCTTTATTGTGAAATGATTTTTGTTCATCTAGGTAGGTATCTAGTAATAATATTGTGGGATCAAATGGTAGTTCAAGTTTAATCTCTTGATAATTCTCCATACTTCTTTCCAGAGGGGCTGTTTTCTTTGCAGTTCCATCAGCAGTGTAGAAGTGTTTCTTTCTCACCATATCCACACCAACATCTGCAGTTTGGGGATTTTGTAATGTGGGCTAATCTTACTGGGGTTAGATGATATCTAATGGTGTTGACTTGGTGGTTTTGATTTACAATTCTCTGATAATTAAAGATGATGAGAATTTTTTCATATGTTTGTAGGTCATGCACCTGTCATCTTCAGAGAAGTTTCTGTTCAAGTCTCTTGCCCACAAAGAAATGGGGTAGTTTGTTCTTTTCTTATTGATTACTTTGAGTTCTCTGAGGATTCTAGTTTTCAGACCTTTGTCAGAAACATAACCTGCAAAAATCTTCTCCCATTCTGAAGCCTTTCTGTTTGCTTTACTTACAGTGCCCTTAGCCATGCAGAAGCTTTGTAGCTTCATCAGCCTGTTTTATTTCTTATCAAATAGAAACTCCTATGCTGATTTACATACATTAATACAAAACTATGATGCACACCAGTTCCACTAGAGTGGTTTAAACCCCTACAGTACATCCCTCCCACTGATATCAACTATAAACTTGGAGAAAATATAAAAAACAAACACCTGAAGATCCTGAACAGCAAGCAAAAACAGGTAAACTCAGTATGTTAGTCAAAACCTAGAGAAGCAACCTGCCCAGGGGTGAATTTCCGCCCTTTTTCTCATATGCCCTGAAGGCAGTGATGGAGTAGCACCTGCAGCTAAGACTCTGACAGAGAAGACACCATCTTCCTGGTCAAAGGAACCAAACAAAGGAGGCTGAGATGGCCAGTGTGTGGGGAAGTCCTGGAGAGGAGAGAGTCACTGGAAGGAATCCTCTGACTATGAGTATACTCACATGCATCAAAGCCTTACCCTTAAATAATCTAGGTGCAGAGGAGACTAAAATTAACCTAGCAAAGGCTTTATGAACTGCACTGAAATTTTAATCAGCTATACAAGTCTCAGCCTAGATTCTGAAAAATATATGAGGATCAGACCAAACCAGTAGAATCAAAGCTTAAAAAACTGGCCTATGCCACGGCACTCTACTGAGGGCAACAAAGTGAGACTCTATCTCTTAAAAAAAAAAACTGGTCTACAATTTAAAACAGCACAAAACTTACTAAATGATCCTAACTAGGAAAAAAAAATCAACATTTTCCATACGACTCCATGAATACAATATAACATCTACAAAGTTCAGGCCATGATTCAAAATTACTAAACAAATGGAAAGGGAAAATATGATGAATGAAAATCTCAAGATGACCTTATAGAAATTATCAAAGACTTCAAAGCAGCTATTATATTTTCTGAGACAAAGAAAAACACACTTGAATGAATGAAAAAACATGAAACTTTGGCAGAGAAATTGAAAAATGAAACTGTTTTCCATATAAAGAAAATAGGAATTGTAAAACAAAACTCTAAAATAGAAATAGAAGCTATAAAAACCATAAAATGGAAACTTCAAAACAGAAAAACATAATATCTGAAAAATTCCTTAGATGGGTTCAATAGCAGAATGAAAATGATAGAGAAAAGAGAGAGTGAACTGGAATATAGTTCAACAGAAATGAACCAATATGAAAAAATGAAGGAAAAACATTTTTTTAAACATGAAGACTCAAGGACTTATAGAGTAATATCCAAGATCTAATACACATATAATTGGAGTTAGGTCTTAGAAGCAGGGGAACAAGTTTTCAAATGATCGTGGAGTACTCAACAGAAATTCTGAGGCCAGAGTGAATTGAACATCTTTAAAATGCTTTTTTTTAAAAAAGAACTCTATATCCAGAAAAAAAAAATTATGAAATGGCAGATGAAAAATCTAAGAGAAGTCTTTGCCAACAGACCTGCAGATTTATAAGAAATGCTAAAGGAATCTCTTCAGGCTAAAGGGAAATCATATGAGAGGAAAACTTGGATCTTCAGGAATAAAGAAAAATATTGGAATTGGTAAATATTCAGGGAAATATAAAGGACCATTTTCCCTTCTTAAGCTATTTAAAATACTCTCAAAGCTTTACTTTTTTTAATTTATTTTTTTTAGATAGAGTCTTAAGCTGTCACCGTGAGTAGAGTACTATGGCATCATAGCTCACAGCAATCTTCAACTCAGGATCAAGCGATCCTCTTGCCTCAGTTTTTCTCTTTTTAGTAGAGACAGCATCTCACTTTTGCTCAGACTGGTTTCAAACTTGTGAGCTCAAGCAGTCCACCCGCCGTGGCCTCCCAAAGTGCTAGTATTACAGGCGTGAGCCACCATGCCCAGCCCCAAGTTTTACTTTTTAAGGTAAAATTTATAAGAGTGTTTCCAATGTATGTAGACTGATGTAAAACACCTGACAACTACAGTAACCTATGAAACATCTGGGGAGTTGGGGAGACCCATGTGATTGCAAGATTTTTATATATTGTGTGAAGTGTGCAATAGCAACCCTAAGTGGACATAGAAAGTTTAAATTACATTGTAAACCCCAGAGCAGTGGTTCTCAACCTTCCTAATTGCCACAACCCTTTAATACAGTTCCTCATGTTGTGGTGACCCCCACCACAGAGCCAGACTCCTTCCCTCTGCTCCTCTCTCCCTCATCCAGAGAGTTCACACTAGTCCTGGTTTCAACTTCAATCGTCTAACCTACACACCAGTCCATCCTCTTTTTCAACTACCAGCTTCATTTCTATTGACCTGCCAAGCCTATTCTGTATCTCACTGTCTCCTGTACGGTAATATTCCAAGAATAGTCTTCCTTCCCCAAACCACCTCTCCTGCCAACCTATGTTCCCAATGACATCACCTTCCTCCTGCCTCAAAAACTTGGAATAATCTTAAATTCATTTCTCATTCCAGATATTTTTCCTTATAAAGGGGGAGAAAGCTCTTACTCTTAGAAAGTGTATTTCTCCTTAATGCATTCTGCATATTCTGCCATGAATTTTCCTTTTATGTTTCTCTTAGCCAACAACTCCAAGATAAATCTAAATTTCTACACCTGATCTTCCAAACGGCCAAGAAGCAATATAAATCTCAATTTCTAAATTTGAATTTTTCCATAATCTGTATCAACCTATTTTTTTTACCAGTTCCCAATGTATCCTCTTCATTGCCATCAATTATCATTCATTACCAACATCTTGTCTTACTCTGACTGGAATAACAAAAATGGTCTTTCTGAGTGGCACCTGTGGCTCAAAAGAGTAGAGCACCGGCCCCAGAGGTGGTGGGTTCAAACCCAGCCCCGGCCAAAAACAACAACAAAAAATGGTCTTTCTTCTCCTGTCCACCCCTACCCCCAAGTCTTACCAATCTTTCAAGACCCAGTTTAAATCTGAATATCTCCAAGAAGTCTTTCCGGATGACCCCAGAGTTCACTTGTGGTCTTCAACACACTCTATTCCCCATAATCCATAATTTATATTCTACACTGGCATGTTGGTATTGGCTCCGTGTGAGTTGTCCTGTCTTCCAAACTAGATTACAAGTTAGGCACATAATAAGCATAGCCAATGTAGTTGTTTGATTCAATTTACCCCCATTTAAAATATGTATGTTAGAAGGGAGGGGGTAATGGGTGGAGGGAGGGAGTTTGGAGGGATTACTTCTGAGGTTTACCTTATAGGGGTACAGGTGAATCTTTCTAAGAGTAGAATGTGAATGTTTTAAAGCAATAACTGAGAAAATGACATGAAGGCTGTGTTGACCAGTTGATGGAAGTATTTCAGATTGCATGTGAAAATCCCACACTGTACCCCAGAAGTGCATTAATGTACATAGTTACCGTTCAATAAAAAAAAAAGAAAAAAAAAAATATGTATGTTAGAATAGGCCACTGTTAGTACAGTTCATTCCAATACATTAACACAAAATGTATATTTCTCACACCATACCAACATTAACAGTACTCATTCCTGAAAATGAAAGTTGCACAAGGAAAAACCAACTATATTAATCATTTTTGCACGGTGCACCATCTGGACATGAATCACGAGGACCATCTGGTTCTTCCATAATCAAATGTCAAGTTTATGCCAGAGTACAGGATGCATTTTGTCATTTCAACTTTTCAATTCACAATCTAAATCATAACTTACAGTAGTCATTTCGAAGACCAGTAAGATGAATCTTCACCTCTGGTTGGGTCTTGGAATACTTTACATCATTGAACCTTTTAAAATAGAAGGATTCCTCTCTGACTCCATTTCTGCAGCCTACAAGAAACAAATACTTCTACACATTTCTATGATCCTGAAAATATAATATTTATCCTGTGAGTATTTAAAAATAGCATTAACTTATAAAGATTAATTACATGGGGAAAAAAGTAGTCATCATGATATGTGTACAACTATAGTACCAAAAGCAGAAGAAGAAAGGGAATGAGAACACACTAGTATTTAAACAGAAATATTGAAAACTTTATTCAATGGCTCATTCTCATAAAAAGCACATGAATGCCAGATCTAACCATAGATGGCAGACCTTGTGGGAAGCATGCAGAGATACTATGTGATGTTTTGAATATTTATTCTCCATTTGAGATCTTAAAACCAAAGCAAATTGCATATCATACCAACATTTACTTGGTGTACATAAGTCCTACTCTTGAGTCTTTGTCAATAAATATCTATTGATTCATTAATGTTTAGCTATTTCCTCACTATTCTGTACCAGAGCACATAGAGTTATTACTTTTTGCTAATTTTACCCGTGACTATCTGAGGTCTGGATTATATCTTTTGCTCAGTTTTAAGTTCTCATCAAAAGACCCCACTAAGTTCAAAACACAGGCCGCTGTCTTTTTTTTTCCAACCACCTGGTTTGTGATCAAACTGAGAATGAAGTAATCAGTGGAAACCAAGATCTCTCAGGTGACCTGTGGTGTCTATGACCAGATGGCTTCTGATAAATGCATGAGAGCTTCACAATGCTCTACCAAGATGTTATTCATAAATTCCTGCCTCAGTGTTAACCATGAAAACCTGCAGTTGTGAGCAGAACTGCAAATTTACTAGAAATACTCAGGGCTGCTAATAAAGAATCACTAAAGGTTAAAAAAAATTATATCCAAAGAATCAAAAAAAAACCTCCTAGAATTTCATTTCCTATGAACAGCTTTTATATTTTATATTTTATATATATAATATATATGTGTGTATATATATGTGTGTGTATATATATAATACATATAAGTGTATGTATATTGTATATATAAAATCTCTTATGTATATAAATACATATTTCATGTATTTTATATATATATTTTATAAATATATAAATTTTTATATATATACATATTTCATGTATTTTATATATATAAATATATATATTTTATATATATATAAAATCTCCTGGGATGTCAGAAGCCTCTCTCTCTGGCTTTATAGGACATATATTTTATTTTAAGCCAAATATCAGCATCTTAGAAAACAAAAACATGTTGCTGGTTAGACCAAAAGATAAGAGAGCTGAGAGAAGACATGTCCCCAAACATTGTATTTTGCTTTTACAAAAATATCATTCTAAAGAAAGGATAAAGTTCCTGCTGTCATCCCAACCATACATTCCCAAACTCCAAAAAGAACATTTAGAAGGCCTGAAATTTTGTCCCCATCTTTATGTATCTAACTCTATTTTTTCCCCTTTTTACTCCTGGGAAAAAGGAGCCTGAATAGCAAACATGAACAAAGAAAGTTCTAGGAGGTAAAAGTGTTATTTATATATTATCTATATAATTCTTTTTAATTTTCAAAAATATTTTAATAAAAAGACAAAACATAAAAACAAAGGATAGTTAAACGATGAGGATTTTCTCTCTTCTTGTTCATATTTATATCCAAGAGTCTTTCAAAGAACCTCATGGATTTGCTTACCAGAACTTATCCCATAGGGAAAAATAATAGGCAAGTTTCCTAGACATTCATAAAATGAATCACTAGTTCTCTCAACAAGTTTCTCACACAGGAGTCAGGCTTCTCAATCAGTTCTTTTCCAGCCTTGATAACAATCTTATGAATAACACAAAGACTTCCAGAACAGAAGGAAAAGGCAGGAAGGAGAGCACATGGGGCTCAAGGGGAAAAGATCTGGGGAGCTCTAATGCCCCCTGGAATGAGGACCTTGTGTAAACGGCCACAGGCATTATCTTTCCACTACATGGCTACCTGACACATGCATAACATCCCCACCCAAAGTTTCCTACCAGCTTTGGACCCTCCAGGCACACCTGAAGTCACAGGAACCACCTACTGTGAGGTTTCAGAGTCTTACCAGATAAGGATAAATCATGAAGAAATACTTTATGTACAAGCACCTAAAGAAAATTAGTCCCAGTGATTCACTATTGATCAGTTACTTGGCTTACATGGAATCCATTTCATACTTGAGTCCTCTTAGAAGAATCCATAACAAAGCCCTACATAGAATATTTCAAGTCGCTGTTTATTAGTCTCTACCTCCAACATCCTCTCCTTCAAGTCCTCAACCCTACCATTAAAGATGTATCCAATGCAGATGTTATAGACTAGCAAACCAACTGGGAGGAACGGTCGGAATGGCCACATAAGTCATTTCTTCTGCCTCTTATTTTCAACATAAGTAACAGCAAATGACTTTTTTAAAGTGTGAAGACAGAAAAACAAAGATTAAGTATAGTACTAGACAAAGGAATAAATACTGTAGTAGGCAAGAGATTCAAACAATTTTCTGGAAAGTGGGTAAAGTGGATTGACAGCTGACCAGGAAGCATAGGAAACTACCTCCCAAGTGCCCACAGAGGGAGATGGGAAGAGAAGCAAGATGATTTGTCTTGCAAAACCCCCCAGCCTCAGAGTCACCAAGGAAGTTGAGAGTGAGATGGGATAGTAGAAAAACTGTCAGGTTCCTATACACTTTGCACAAACAGGTAAATACACACACATGTATGCACAAACCAGAAGAAACAGGTGTTTATTAATAATAAATAATAAAATAAATAAATAAAAAGTGACCACCTCTTAACTCAATGGCATCAGGTACCATGGGGATGTATGTGGCAAAAAAAACAGATGTTGAGTAAAAATCTTTATACTGAATCTACCCTAGTGCTCGTCAACCTAGTAAAAGAGGTCTAAGCTCTTTAGTGCTATTTCTAAAACACCACACATTTCAGGAAAGCTTTTATCCTAAAAGAGAAAAGCCAAAGAAAATGGGGCTTGGGAGGAAGAGAAAAGCAAAGGAAAGAAAGACAAATGGTACCACACGCGGGTCTTAGTACCGCGCGCGGGTCAGAGTACCGTGCACGGGTCAGAGTACCGCGGGTCACAGTACCGCACGCTGGAATCCTTCCAGAAACCTATAAAATAATATCATCAGGGAAGCAAGACGACACCTGCAGTATGTTCACAAAGTATGGATAAGATCCTATTAAAAAAAAAAAAAAAAAACGCGGCACCTATAGCTCAACCGGCTAAGGTGCCAGCCACGTACACCTAAGGTGGCGGGTTCGAATCCCCAGCCCGGACCCACCAAACAATGACGGCTGCAACCAAAAAATAGCCGGGCGTTGTGGTGGGCGCCTGTGGTCCCAGCTACTTGGGAGGCAGAGGCAGGAGACTCGCTTGAGCCCAGGAGTTGGAGGTTGCTGTGAGCTGTAATGCCACGGCACTCTACCCAGGGGGACAGCTTGAGGCTCTGTCTCAAAAAAAAAAAGGAACAGAATAAAGAAATTGCTCTTAAAAAAATGACAAAGATAGCCAAAATGAAAGGTTTAAGCCCAGGGTTGGTAGACAAAATCAAGGTAGTCACCTAGAAGGTGGGAAAAACAACAACAATGATGAAATGAAACATAGAACAGAAACACAGGAAAATTGGAGCATCGTTCCAAAAGAAGCAACACAATAGTTTCAGAAGAAAGAAATAAGAAAAGCAAAGAAATTATTAAAGAACAATTAAAGAGACTTCCTAAGAGCTATAGGACAGGGGTTTCCAGGATTGAAAAGCTCCACCAATGGACTTTTCATTCAAAATGAGGGGTATTTTCTAATGCCAAGCTTTACCATCATGGAATTTTAGAACACTGGTGATAAGAGACATTTTGAAGAGCATTCAGAGAGTAAAAGCAAAGTATAGGAAATAAAAATAGCACATGATGTCTCAGCAACAGTGGATGCTAGAAAAACGATAGGGTAGGGTCAAACCGAGTCTAACTAGAATTTACAGCCAGCCAAACTCTGAATCAAATGCAAGAGTAGAACAAGGACAGTGGCAGACCAGCAAGCCCGGAAAGAGCACCACATAGCGGCTAGTAAACAGAGGATCTCAGCTTGGCGGAGAGGAGCCCCAGGGTTACCACCGCTCAGCTCAGCGGGCTCTGGGAGGAAGGGCTCCCTGGAGAAGAAGGAACCAGAGCAAGGGAGTGCATGGAAAACGTTACTGATAGCTGTGGAACAAAACGTTGGACATTTAGAGTGATTTCACAGTTACCGAATTCTTATAAAAACAGTTAACTAGAAGAGACACATATTTGTATCACACTACTCAGCCCGGTGGAATACTTGTAGAGTAACGTGATGTAAACACTGACTACTAACTTTGCTTTTTCTAAGTGTGATAAAAAAAAAAAAACATGTCAAAAAACCGCAGAAACTGAATGAGGCAGGAGAGACTAAGTTCTTATCCACTGTGGTAGGAAGTTATGATGAAGTCCAAAAGTATAAGAAATAGCAGTTCATCAATATTACTTAGAAAACAGATGTAAATACCAGGACTTATGGCTGGAAGAGCTAAGGGTGGTTGCCTCTAAAAAATGGGACTTGGGAGTGGGATTAGTTAGGGCAGAGATTAGAGGAATTTTATAATTATGTTGACTTAGTCTTTTTTTTTTTTTTTTTTGAGACAGAGTCTCAAGTTGTCATCCTCGGTAGAGTGCCGTGGCATCATAGCTCACAGCAACCTCCAACTCCTGGGGTCAAGCAATCCTCTTGCCTCAGTTTTTCTATTTTTTAGTAGAGACAGGGGTCTCACTTTTTGCTCAGGCTGGTCTCAAACCAGTGAGCTCAAGCCATCCACCCACCTTGGCCTCCCAGAGTGCTAGGATTATAGGCATGAGCCACTGCACCCATCCGGCTTAGTCTTATAAATATTAAAAATGATATATTTTAAGATAAGGAAGAAATGAAGGAAGTGGGAAGAAAGAGGAGGGTAGGAATGAAGGCGAACAAAAACTTAGGCCCGTACCTTTCCAAACACACTGAGATCGCTCACAAAGCTGCATTTTCCCATTAAGCTGCTGAAACACCTTCTGGGTTACAGATGGTTGGTTTAGGCATTTCTGAAAACAAACTCACATAAAGAGAATACTTTCTCAGAAACATATATGTACATCTCGGTCATGACACGATAGAAGTGATAATTCATAAGACGTTCACATTGAAGTTCACATTTTCAAATCTACCACTACAATAATTTCTATTATTTATTACCTAAATACTGCGTAAAGAACAGTCCTGAGCATTTTATTTGTTTATTTTTTTTTTTTTTTGGAGACAGAGTCTCAAGCTGTTGCCCCGGGTAGAGTGCCATGGCATCACAGCTTACAGCAACCTCCAACTCCTGGGCTTAAGGGATTCTCTTGCCTCAACCTCCTAAGTAGCTAGGATCACAGGTGCCTGCCACAATGCCCGGCTATTTTTTGGTTGTAGTTGTCATTGTTGTTTTGGCAGGCCCTGGCTGGATTTGAACCCGCTAACTCCAGTGTATATGGCTGGTGCCCTAGCTGCTGAGCTACAGGCGCCAAGCCGAGGGCTGAGCATTTTACAGGAATCATTTCTAATGTCCCCCAACTCCATTGACCAGGTATTACTCAACTACAACAAAATCCTTTTTTATTCTTCTAGCCTAAAACTTCATTTAGCCTATAAACCATAGGCCAGTCATATCATCAAAGCCTGCAAAAGCGGAAATGTCATGATGTTTCTAGGACTCTCTAAAATTAGAAACCCTCCCCAAAATAATAAAGTTGAACATCAGCAGGACAACATTTTGTAAGAAAGATTTCTTTCAAGGAATACCTCTCAGCACTTAGCCCAGAGATATGCTCTCGGTTTTTACTAAGATCTCTGAGCCTCACATCAATTTTCCTCACTTGTAATATGTTTTTACTGGACTAATCATCTTAAAGGTCCTTTTCCATTAACACCTCTACCCATTAAAAATAGGGACATCAGCTACTTAGGAGGCTGAGGCAGGAGTATCTCTGGACCCAAGGAGTTTGAGGTTGCGGTAAGCTATGATGATGCCACAGTACTCTAGCTGGGGCAACAAAGTGAGATGCTCTGTCTCAAAAAATTGAAAAAGGAAAAAAATGGGGGAAATCAAGTTATAGAGAGCTTAAGTAACTTGACTAAATCTCCATGACTACAAAAATGTGATTGATATGTCTTTGGGCCAATATATAAGGATCATTTCTGGCTAGGTATGATGGTTCACATCTATAATCCCAGCACTTTGGGAGACCAAAGCAGGAGGCCCACTTGAGACCAAGAGTTCAAGACCAGCCTGGGGAACCAAGTGAGACTCTGTCTCTACAAAAATATTTAAAAATTTATCTGGGCATTGTGGCATGCACCCATAGTCCCAGCTACTCAGGAGGCTGAGGCAGAAGGATCTATTTGAGTCCAGGAGCTTCCAGTTACAGTGAGCTATGATAATATCACTACACTCTAGCCAGGCAACAGTGTGAGAGCCTGTCATTAAAAAAATTTTTTTACAGCTCAGCATCTGTGGCTCAAGCAGCCAAGACGCAAGCCACATACACCTGAGCTAGTGGGTTCGAATCCAGCCTGGGCCCGCCAAACAACAATGACAGCTGCAACCAAAAGATAGCCGGGTGTTGTGGTGGGCAACTGTAATCCCAGCTACTTGGGAGGTGGAGGCAGGAGAATCGCTTGAGACCAGGAGTTGGAGGTTGCTGTGAGTTGTGATGCCACAGCACTCTACCCAGGGGGACAGCTTGAGACTCTGTCTCAAAAAGAAAAAAAAAATTTTTTTTTAACTAAAGCACTTCTGACAGTCTTACATCCAACTTTGATCAATAACAGCTAGAAAAATTAGTAATAAGTGGAAAGAAAAGTACTTACTAGAATTTTCTGTAAACATGGTGATGAATAGTTAAAGCAGAGAATATTCTTTTTGGCTTTTTTACAACAATATATTTCTTTTCTTTCTTTCTATTTTTAGAGATAAAGTCTATGTTGCCCAGGCTGGTCCTGAACGCCTGGTATCAGATGATCCTCCCACCTTGCTGGGATCACAGTCATGAATCAGCACACCCAGCTCTCACAAAAATATATTCAATCTCACATGCATGACCATCACTAGGTCACCTTGTTCAGGCAGAAGGCTCTCTGACAGGCATCTTTTGATGCTATGACATGTAACAAGCATTATAGTCAACAAATCACGGGTTTTCAGGTATTCAGGTAGAATAGTCAACCACAAAACAGGGTTTCTCAATCTCAGCACTATTGGCATTGGGCAGCAGATAATCTTGTGCAGGCTGTTCTGTGCATTTAAGCATGTTTAGCAGTGTCACTGGCCTTTACCCACTAGATGTCTTCCCCCTGGGTTGTCACCATCAGAAACTACATCCTTTTATATGTGTGCAGTGTTATTTTTTATGTGCTACAAATACTTGAAAGTTACTTAGCAGTATAACCATAAATAATAATGCTGCCAGTCTCCTTCAGACAAAAAACTATAGAAAGTGGTTAAATGGGTTAAGTAAGAAAAAGGTCTTTATCTACAAATGATGTGATCATTTAGGTTTTTTGTTTTGGGAAACTAGGATTTGAAAAGATATGTTTGAGGGCTAGCATAATCCATGCATGATGGTTCAGAGCAGACTTTGGAGTTGAGAGCCTGGAATTCTAATTCCAGCTTCAGCAATGCTCTGTTAACACAGATTATCTGAGCGTCAGGGTTTTTTCTTGGAATAAAATGGGCATGAATTCTGCCTGCCAAGACTGTCATGACATTGCATATAAAAAGTGCAAAGTAAATAGTGGCTGTTATTATTCCTGTATTTTCTATGCATAAAAATTTTTAAAAACACAACATCCTTAGACATTGTCAAATGCCCCCTGAGGCATACAGTCACCCCAGTTGAGTACCATTAGTATAATTCCTAAAATGGCCTACTGGCCAGTAGCTCTTCACAAAGTCAATTCTTCAGAATCTCATGGTTAGCACAAAGCTGGGCAGAGCATTGTGGAGCACATGGTTCAGCTCTGTGGTCCCAGGGCGCTATTTCCTCAGTGAGATCTACTTATCACCTTAATTAGCTACTGAGCATAGAGCTCACTCTGAATTCTGAAGTGTCCCCAGCTATGCAGACTCATTGTGGACACACCCTGCAGATGGTCCTGAAAACCACACAAAGACCACACAGGTTTACTATAAAGGTGAAGGCCTCACTTTGTATCTTTGCCACTCTCGAGTCTTGACACCAAACACTCTGCATTGAGCAGTAAAACAGTTCCCATTATCCTCTGCCCAGTTTCTTCAGCGATCCAAAGGGCAGACCACATCCCCAAATAGTTGGGAATGGCCACAGCAAGAGCTCCTTTGGCTCAGAGGAAGCATTTCATGGTTAAGTATAATTTTATTATATATTTAATCTTTACCTTTTTGACAATTACTCTCTTTTCCTTTTTTTGAATGGTCCTTTCTCACGTATTGGGGGGATATTTTCTTTCTTTTACAAAATGGCCCTATTCCTGTTCTTCATTCACTCATTTTTTCTATCAGAAATCCGTCATCTTCTTACTGATTTGTAAGAGCAGCAAAGCAGCTCTTTCTTCAGGTTCGGACTTAGTTATCTGAGCTTCTCAAGAAATGGGATCTTCAGTTTTTTGTCTTTACCTACCTGTCCTTTTGAGGAATCATTTTCCTTCCAGCCTCTGTCGACTGCACAAGTTGCCTTGCAGAAACACGGAGCAGAGTTGAGCGTTTCGGAACTTCCCTTGATGGGAGTCTTCAGTGGTTCGTTGAAGGATCCTAAAAGAATGACATGTACCTTTGAATCTGGTTTTCAAAACAAGATACTCACTTTGATTGGAGGTCTGGCCTTGATGTCTTTCACAATAGAATAGAATATGAAGGCCCAGGCTCTGGCCTCTCCAAAATCCATGCAGGGTCAAAGTCTTATCCAGAGCACTGGGTTTTTAAGTTTCTCACTCAATGAGAAACAGCCTCAGTGGCCTCAGCAGTAGGAAGGAAAGCCAAGATTAAAGACCTGACTTCAACTGAAGCAGCAGCAGTGACAGTGCTTCACCTCTATATGGGAAGAACAGATTTGCACATTTGAAGAATGGAGAGAAACAGCTGAAGAGTTTAAAGTGATGGTGCAGAGAATATCAGATGTGCTGAAGCTATGATCATCCTGCCAGGAAATAACTACAGGGTACTGGCTTTGCCAAGCACATTCACTCTTGTGCTCACATTCACCACATGATCATGAGCAAATCTCTTTGGCTATCCCCTTTCCCATCTTAGAAAGATGTTGAAAAGATAGTTTGGGAAGGCATTAGAAAAATACTTTCTAAATTAAAATAATACAAGACTTAGTTTATTTGCATCAATATTATTCATTTGTATTCTCTTCTCAAGAGTGAGAAAGCCCTGGACCAGACATTTTTGGTGTTGGTGTTGGTGTTGTTTCTGAGACAGAGTTTCACTTTGTCACTCTTGGTAGAGTGCTGTGGCATCATAGCTCACAGCAACCTCAAATTCTTGGGCTCAAATGATCCTCTTACCTCAGCCTCCTGAGTAGCTGGGACTACAGACGCCTGCTGCAATGCCCAGATCTTTTTTTTTTTTTTAATAGAGATTTGGGTCTTGCTCTGACTCATGCTGGTCTTGAACCTGTGAGCTCAAGTGATCCACCTGCCTCAGCCTCCCTAAATGCTGGGATTATAGGTGTGAGTCTTGACCAGACTTTTAAGTGTACTGGAAACCTGTCAAGTCATCCTCTAAAACTAAATATCTGCCATATCACTTGTTCATCAGAGGAGCCAGGAAACCATTATAAAATCTTGGCCTTTCGCCATGTGATAATCCCTTCTTCATTTGGACAACCATGGCTTGATAAACTATCATTAATGTTCCTAGCGCTTGGCATCTCAAGTCCTAGGATATTTAAAATCTTAAGAGAAAAATGTTACAGTTTAGGAGACGGAGAATGAAGATATGAAATGTTCCTCAAAGTTTTAGATCTTGCTCTTTGTCCTGAGAAACTAGGTATCCTTGCTTTCTTATGCTATATGCACAAGAGTAGAGAGGAGAAAGGCTGAATCTCAGAACCTCAAATGAGGCAGAAAAGGCTGCAGTTGGGTGCTAGTGCTGACAATCATCCCAGTGATCAACAAAGAGGTCAGCTCACCTAAGGAAGCAGGGACAGAGCAGGACTGCAAATGAACCTCTCTTTGCACGTCCCTTCTGGAATGGGAGGATCTTCCATGTCTGCTTTTCCGAAACAAAAAGAAAGAAACCCCACCAGTGAAGCACTCAGAAACCATTGTAGCTGTTAATGTCTGGTATTAACTTAAGCATAAAATAAAATAGACATTCTTGTAAAATCTTTTGGAAAAAGATTTGTAAAATCTGTCTCTTGGAATTCTGAATTTCTCGTATAATGCTCTATTTAAAAAAAAAATCAATAAATGTAGGGCCTAGAATGAAAAAGGAGTCCTTAATGTTAGCTAGAAATTCTTCTAAAATTGTCATCATCAAAACTGCCCCTTAGGGTGGTGCCTGTGGCTCAGTGAGTAGGGTGCCAGCCCCATATACCGAGGGTGGCAGGTTCGAACCCAGCCCCAGCCAAACTGCAACAAAAACTGCCCCTCAATTACCACAGGATTACAAAAGATTTATTTTAGAAAATAGTCATCACAGCACTCTTTCTGATAACCTGTATCTCTTGCTGCTTCAGTTAGCTGCTTTCTTCAGTATTGAGATTTGTTCTTACACAGGAATTTCCGTGATTTGAAAAGATTTGGTCTCCCTTTCAAATTCAGGACTGCAACGCCTCACTGTGTCAAATCACTAAGAGGGGTTGCTAATGTTTGTCTAACTCAGTAAGCATGCTGATGATCAAGGAATCACAATGCCTAGTGCTTACAAGGGAAGAAGGGGAATTACATCACCAGATGACAGGTGGCGATTTTGGCCTCTGAAGGATGGGAATAAAAATGGCTCTGCCCAAATGAGACTTACATATTTCAGAAAGAGAACGTGCGTTTCCGGGCTCTGACAGGTTATCAGGAACCGTACTCATCACAGCAGGGCTTTGGTGCCCTTTTTCATTCCTCCCTCCATCTCTCCATCCTTTCCTGTCGCTTCTCCCTTCCTTTTACTTTTTCTTTTTCTCTTCCTCTCCTGCTTTCAACTTTTCCTTCTATTTCACGTCTGATTATTCCATTATTAATATATTTTTTCTGAATGTGATAGGAACCTTACCAGAGTCATTAGCATCCTATACTTTGTAAAACAAAACCATATATACAATTATGTGTATATACATAGGAGGTCAGACAATTGAGTTCACAAACTTATCCTAGAAAAAGTGACACATACCTCATTGCTGAATATCACTGCAGTCACCTTCCAAGTATCCTGGTGGGAAGCTATGCACTGGTGCCAGTGCCTATACACCATTCAAAGCATTTTTTCCTAGGATGAGGGAGCAAACTTAACTGTCACACCTCATGTGACAACAGATCTGATAGCCATTCCAGAAAAAGCGTTCCAAAATTGCTCTGAAGGATGGACTAGGCACTGGCATCAGTGTATAGCTTCCCAAAGGGAGTACTTTGAAGGTGATTATAGAGATATTCAGCAATGAGGTATGTGGCACTTTTTCTAGGATGAGTTCGTGAAGCTGTCAGACCTCATGTATATGTATACATACACACATTCGTACCTACAATCTTTACAAAAGTAATCATTTACCAATACGAGTCTCAAAAACATATTTAAAATGCACCATATCCTGGCTCGGCACCCATAGCTCAGTGGTTAGGGTGCCAGCCACATGCACTGGGGCTGGTGGGTCCAAACCCAGCCTGGGCCTGCTAAACAAGGACAACAACCACCAAAAACAATAACCGGGTGTTGTGGCTGATGCCTGTAGTCCCAGCTACTTGGGAGGCAGAGGTAAGAGAATCGCTTAAGCCCAAGAGTTTGAGGTTGCTGTGAGCAGTGATGCCACAGCACTCTACCAAGTATGACATTGTGAGAGTGTTTCAAAAACAAATAAAATAGAATAAGAATGCACCATATGCTGAGCTCAAGTTGGCCTGAGGAAGCTGCCATACGTTGAGCCCCCACAATCATGAACTGCAACCTAACTTAGTATGTAAACTGATTGAAAGCCTAACATGGAATATATGTGTGCGGCAAACAGCTGAGTCTCAGCCAATCACAGAAGCTGAGCTTCAGTCAATCACAAGTGGCCAGCTGATCAGATCATTTCCAAACAAGGCAAACAGTAAACTGTAATCCAGGTTTCCTGCCTCACTTTCCTTTTCTGTTCCTAAATGCTGCCTGTCCCCACATTGTGGAGCTCTCTGACAGTGGCCAGATTACAATTAAACTCTCTTAAACTTAATGTGTCTAAAGTAGGGGCTTTTTTAACTCATCATTCCTTTTGTTTTTATTTCATCCTCCCCAACACACACACACACACACACACACACACACACTTTGGACATTTCTCATTTAAAGGGAGAAAAAGAGAAAAGCACTCAACTAACGCTGATAGTCCTAAAACAAAGATTCTCTCAGGAATATATCCTTTGTTAACATGTCAAAACTGGGCTGTGGCACTTCTGTCACCTCACCTGGAGTCAAGGTGTCTTTCTCAGAGGTTATCTTCAGCACTGACCCAGAAGATTCTGGGAGGTCCACGGTTGAAGGCTCCTCTCCCAAGGAATAGGCTGACAGATCCCTGGTTTGACTTTGCTGCCATCTTGTGGTGATGGGGCTGCTGGCCACAGGCCCCTCAGCTGACAGTCTCTTCGCGAAGTTGCTCTTAAAGTTAGCATAGGTGGTATTCAGCGAATCAAAGACCTGTTTAACAAGGAAAAGAGCTATAATTCACAGGAGCATCAACAATGCAGAAGTAAAAATGCCTTTAAAAATTACTCATCTAATACAACACAAACAATATATATGAGGTTTTTAATTTTTGTAACCTGATTGCTATTTTATATAGAATACATACATAACGTATATACTGTGGTGCCAAATAAATGTATACACATTATAAGAGATGCTATCCATGTATTATATATTACATTATGTATTTAGCTTGAGCACCTCTTGTAATTGCCGAAGTCAAATGTGACTTGAATTCCTCTTTTGTTATTGGTATATATTGAGTATTGCAATTTTAATGTAGGTTTTTTTCCCTTTCTTAAAATGCATATACTTTGGCGGGCACCCTCTTTACATATAAAACCACCAGGCCCAGCACATGGCAGCTCACTCCTGGAATCCCAGCACTTTGGGAGACTGAGGTGGGAGGATCACTTGAGGCCAGGAGTCTAAAACCAGCTTGAACAAGAATAAGACTCCATCTCTACAAAAAATTGGCTCTGCGCCCATAGCTCAGTGGTTGGGGCGCTGGCCACATACACTGGAGCTGGTGGGTTCAAACCCAGCCCGGGCCTGCTAAACAACAATGACAACTCCTACAACAACAACAAAAAGAAAGTCAGGCATTGTGGCGGGCACCTGTAGTCCCAGCTACTTGGGAGGCTGAGGCAAGAGAATTGCTTAAGCCCAAGAGTTCAAGGTTGCTGTAAGCTATGATGCCACAGCACTTTACCAAGTGTGACATAGTAAGAATCTGTCTAGGATTATGCCTGTAATCCTAGAAATTTAGGAGGATGAGGTGGGAAGATTGTTTGAGGCCAGGAGCTTGAGACTAGCCTGGGCAACATATGAAGACCCTCATCTGAGGCCAGGCAAAGTGGCTCATGCCTATAATCCTGACACTCTGGAACGCCGAGGTGGGTGGATGTTGAGTACAGGAGTAGGAGACCAGCTTGAGCAAGAGTGAGAGCCAGTCTCTAAAAATAGCCAGGTGTTGTGGCCAGTACCTGAAGTCCCAGCTACTTGGGATCACTTGAGCCCAAGAGTTTGAGGTTGCTGTGAGCTATGACACCATGGCACTCTACTGAGGGCGACTAAATGAGACTCCATCTCAAAAATCATAAATGAACAAACAAACAAACAAAAGACCCTCATCTCTAAAAATAAAGTCAGAAAAACTAGCCAGGTGTTGTAGTGCATGCCTACAGTCCTGGTTACTTAGGAGGCTAGGGTAGGATAACCGGCTGAGCATAGGAGTCTGAGGCTGCAGTGAGCTATGATCACACTGCTGCACTCCCACTGGGGTAACATAGTGAGACCATGTCTCATAAATAAATAAATATAAATAAAAGGAACACTATCTACTGAATGTACACAATGCTTCTATAAAATAATGAAATGTTAAACCTGAAAATAAACTGCAATTTTCGAATCCAACTCCCTCATTTCACAGATGGGAAAACTGAGGCCCAGAGAAAGTAAATGACTTGCTCAATGTCTGTCCATCCCCTCTGAGAAACGCCAGGAGTTTGACCTTCGCAGACCCTATGGTGGTGAACCATGCCATGTAGCTATGTGAAATTAAAATCAAGTGACAAACTGGAAATGAACTATTTTTAAACTAAACAATAGACAAGTTTAGGCTAATGTCCTCGCATAAAGAATTCTTACAGAAATTTAGACATATTTACCAGCCCAATAGAAAAACTGGCATAGGAAATGAAAAGGCAATTCACAAAGAGATAGATAAATGCCCAAAAACTATTTAACCTCACAAGCAGTTGAAGAAATGCAAATCTAAAACTGTAGTGAGATGTTAGCAAAGGTTTTCTTGTGACAATCCTCAGTGTCAAAGGTGCTAAAAACAAACACTGAGAAACACCGGGCGGGCAGGGGGTCGTGTTTAAATTACTACTTGGAAAAGCAATTGGACAATGTATGTCAAAGGCCTTAGAATGTGTGCATAATTTCTACCGACCCAGCAATGTCACCTCTAGGAATTTAAGGAAGAAATCTAAGATGTGAGAAAGATGGAGAAAGCATCCAGTACCTACGAGGTGCCACATGGAAGCACATAAGTTAAGGGTTTTGCTGTGAAGTGGGCCTGTTATTTATTCTTGCTTTACCAGTGAGGAACTTGAGGCTTATGGGTGAAGTGAATTTCCTAAAACTATCCTGTGAGTGGAGATGCCACACCCTAAGCTCACTCGTGTGACCCCACAGTTGAGGCTCTCAGCTGAGAAGGGTATGTGCTGCATTGTATATGTTCACAGCTACCAAAAGATGGGGGTAGGGGACATATTTGCCACTGGAAAATTGATTACTAAGTAAACTATATGACATCAAGGGAATACTATGCAGCCATTAGAAATGGCATACATTAGGGAAATGTAAATCAAAACCATAATAAAGTGCCACTTTATACCCATCAGGATCACTATAATTTAAAAAAAAAAAGAAAACTAACAAGCATTGGTAGGCAGGTAGAATAATTAGAAACTCTGTTCACGGGACGTGGGAATGCAAAAGGATACAGCAACTTATAGAAGGCAGTTTGGTGGTCCCTCAAAAAATTAAACGTAGCATTTTCATATGGCTCCACAATTCTGCTCAGAGGTATATGTACTCAGACTCAAACACATATTCATAAATGTTCATAACAGCACTATTGACAACAGCTAAAAGGGGGAAACAGTCCAAAGGGCCATCAGAAGATGAATGGGTAAACAAATTGGGGTACATATACAAGGTGTCCATAAAGTTTGCATGCAATTTAAAATTGCAGTTTAAATTTCACATGAACTTCATGGATAACCTGTTTGTGTATAAGTATACATGCAAAGGAGTATATTACTCAGGTAAAAAGTGCTAATACGTATTACGATATTACGATGGACATAAACCTCAAAAACATCATGCTAAGCGAAAGAGCTACACACAAAAGGTCACATGTTGTACAAGTCCATTTCTGTGAAGTATCCAGAACAAGGAAATCCACAGAGACAGCACATGGATTGGGGGTCGACAGAGGTCAGGGGAAGAAAGAAATTGGGAACAACTGCTTCATGGGTACAGAGTTTTCTTTGGGGTTAAAGAAAATACTTCGGAAGCAGATAGTGGGTGGTAGTTGCTCAATGTTGTTGATTTAAAAAATATGTTATGTGGGGCAGCACCTGTGGCTCAAGGAGTAGGGCGCCAGCCCCATATACCGGAGGTGGTGGGTTCAAACCTGGCCCCGGCCAAAAACTGCAAAAATAAATAAGTTAATAAATACAAATAAATAAAAAATATGTTATGTGAATTTCACCTCCATAAAAAATCTTTAGAAGTGGTAACATAGGATAATATTCAATAAAATCTAAAATATGTTTATAATATATGGCCAGGTGGAAAACAGAGGCTATAAAGGAGTATTCCAGGAAGACCCATTTGCCAGGTGGGAAGGAAATGTGCTGGAGCCTTGAGGCAGTAAACTCGGGTGCGTTTGGGTTCTTACTAAGTGTGCATGAGGGTGCTGGCTCGCTGCCTGCAGTCCTGCAGTGGGCAAGGCCGGCTCTCTCTCCCAGCTGCTCCTCAAATTGTCAGAACAGGACATTTTCCCCAGGAAAACAAAGTCAGGAGCCTGAGGCCACAGCAGTTGTAAACATTTTGTTTCATTTAGTTGTTCTGCCCTTGCTAGGGTTTGAGTAAGAAGCAGAAGAGTGAAAAGAGGGAAAGCTAGGAGCCCTGGAAACGTCAATCAGTTGTCTCCAACTCCGAAGTCTGGACTGGGGACAGCAATAAAGGGACAAGTGAAGCAGGCCTCAGTGTGAAGCATGGCCCACTCACGCTTTCAGTCCCCACTTTTTTATTTCTCTACTCACAGGGAAACCACAGCACTCTGCTACAAGTCTCAGCCCCAGAGACCGAGGGAATCTCTCACACTCGAATGCTCGCATTTCAGCGCCAGCGAGAATGTCAGCCAGAGAGGCCCTTGTTCCATTTTATAAAAGAAGTTAGATAATACATTAGCTCATTATCAATTTCCCTACTTTTTAAAGTCTTCAACTTATTCTAGGTTTTTTGTTTGTTTGTTTGTTTGTTTGTTTTCGAGATAAAGTTCATTTTGTCACTTTTGGTAGTGCCATGGTGTCATAGCTCACAGCAACCTCAAACTCTTGGGTTCAAGTGATCCTCTGCCTCAGCCTTCCTAGTAGCTAGAACTCTAAGTGCCCACCACAATGCCTGGCTGTTTTTAGAGATGGGGTCTCACTTGTGCTCAGGCTGTCTCAAACCCATGAGAGCTCAGGCAATCCACCAGCCTCAGCCTCCCAGGTACTAGGATTACAGGAGTGAGCCACCATGCCCCGCCCTATTGTAGGTTTTTTTAAAAAACGGCAGGTCTGAGCAGAACCTTTTGGGGGGCCACATTCAGGAATGGGCCACATCTGCAACCTCTGTAATCCCAGCCAAGCAGCCCTTCCCCTCCCAGGTACCAAGAAAAGGAGGAATCAGCGTGCTGGAAGGCAGACTTGCAAAAACCCCAAGGAGGAAGGCGGTGCTTGCTCAAAGATTTCCTTGAAGTCCCAAAAGTTAAATAAAAGTAAATCTTAGTTTAAAACAGAGAAATTAAAGGAAAAATAATGTGATGATACGTTAGCTCATGATCAAGAAGCTGCACGTTGATAATCTCACAACACCCTAGCACTGGCTGATCCACTGTCCCTCTGTCCATCCTGAATGTTTCCCATTGGGGTGCTCTTCCCTGATTCTCTGCCGGGGTAACTCCTAGCTCACCTTCACGCCTGGGCTCCTTCAGAATGTATTTCTGATATTCCCTTTTTCCCCATTCCAAACTGGGCTAGGCAGCCTATGGTAGGCTAAATAAGGGTCCCAAAAGATCTCCAGATCCTAATCCTTGGAATCTGTATATGTTAGGGCAAACAAGCTATAAAGATGTGATTAAGTTAAAGATGAATTTAAACTGAGGTAAG